GGGAAGTCTTAATGCCGGCAAAAAAAGTGGGTAGGTGGGTGGAGGAGTGGAGGCCAACTGTCATCGGTGGGCGGAGCTGACCAAAGTGGGCGGAGTTTGCCAAAAGTGTCGTAATTTGGTTCCAAGAGGTCCCAGAGACCGGGAAAAAGGGGGTAGAGGTCGGCGAAAGGAAGGGGGCCAAATGCTATTGGTGGGCGGGGCACGCACCGAAGTAGGCGGAGTTTGCCACGAGATTTATTGTCCGGAAGCAGTCCGGAGACCGGGAAAAAGAGGATAATGGTTGACGAAGAAAAAGAGGTTGAAAGCCGTCGATGATGGAGCGGATAGAATTTAGCTGAGAATTCAGATATTCGTGGTGTATCAAGCCAAATTTGAAAATTTTCGTCGCACCATCAAAATTCGCCGCAGATCTGTGTTGTGCGCGCAATGCGTGCGGCGCCAACTGGTAATATGTAGTTCAAATCCGGTCGACTAACAACCCTTTAGCTTTGGGGTTTAAAGCCCGCAGAAGCCCCTCGAAAATTCCAAATCCATGCAGGCTGCTTTCGGAAGGCTCGTAAATGAACTTGAAGACATTTGCCTGCCTGCCACGATGAAACAAACGACTCAAGGTTTTGCTTCTGAACTGGTTGAGGAAGATTTGAATGTAAACGTTGAATATTCTTCCTAAGGTACCAGTGAATTGTTGCACACAGGGAGCACTGGTATTGTCCAATTATTTGCCAGAGCCGAACTTTCCCGAATATTCGTAACTTGCGTGCACAATGAACTGCGGAAGCGAGCGTACAAGCCAGGTTTTTATCCTCCACACAAGATGGTATCTAATCACCGACACTGAGGATGGAGACCATGATTCACTTAGAGGGCGTACTAAGCAGGGCCACCTGCCATTACACCACCTCCGCCACGAGGGCCGCGAGGAAATGAATGTAGAGATGGTAAATGGTGCAGTGGTGGTGCAAGAGGTGGGGCTTTCCAGGAGCTTCAGCTAGCTTGCCAAAACAAGCAAAACAGCAAGCCCACGAAGGGGGCGTGTTTCACGAACTCTTGCCTGTGAACCAGAACCATCGCGGCTACGCTCTTTTGCTTTGCTTACAATAGCCAAATCAAATGAGTTTGGAAGAAAGATTTGAGATTAGCTAGGAAAAACATCTTGCCACACGTGCCTCACCAGGACAGGTCATCAGGTCGGTCCGAGGATTTGCAATGGGGCGTGGGGCGTGCATCCATGAATTCGTCTTTATACGATGAGCTATGTGTTTCCATGCTATATTTGAGTGCTATCGCGCGGAGCCGCCTTCATGGACCTGGCGATGAAATGTATACAAGCTCAATGGTGTAAGTATTAGGTCGGTCCATAATTTTTGAGAACCTTTGGTGTTTTTCGATTTAATTACTTATCTTATTTCTCTGATGTACTTATTCCAGCATAGTATACATCATTATTATTACCAACATATCACCAATGCGAGGGTAGGTATTCAGTGTCTCTCTTGTAGAATTTCCATAGCTCTGATCGAAGAAATATTGGATGTCGATTTTGACTTTATGGTGATTCAAGTGCTTCTCCAGAAGGTGATTGAGAGAGGAGAGAGGACAGTCGTTCGTT